CTGCGGGAGACGCCGTCCGAACAGCCGCGGTAGGTTTGGGTTTGATGACGGTTGCCGGGCTAGGGTTTAGGGTTTAGGGTTTAGGGTTTAGGGTTTAGGGTTTAGGGTTTAGGGTTTAGGGTATCCCTATACCCTAAACCGTAGAGTTTAGGGTTTCGGATTAGATTATCGTGCAATATAGTATGCCTTCATGAGCAGAGTATAGAGTCTTGGGGTATATGGGTAGTTTTCTAAATTAGGGTCCCTGTTAGGGTCCTTATTGTAAGGGTGCCGTACTATATTGGGGAGCTAAGGCGACACTAATTTAGAGAACTACCCATATTGTAGTGTAATATATATTAAGGCTCTGTTAAGGTTTCTAGAAGGTTTTAAGGATTTGGAAGTTGAGGACTCTTGATGTAGGGTCTATCTTGCACTTGGACCCAAGAAGTATGCAACATAGTACTATATTAGCTTTCGGATTTAGGCTGCATATGGGTGCACGGGTAAAGTGTGCTGGGATTTGAAAGGTTTACCCGTTCAGGGTTGCGTTTTTTAGCGGATCAGGGTTGAGGACTCAGGGTTTAGGGTTGAGGGCTTAAGGATTTGAGGCGCCGGCCGTTTAGGATATAGTGCTGAAGAGTTTGGGGTTTAGTGAGTTTTCGTGTCCATTCTTTTTCTGATGATAAGAGCTAGTGCGTCGATGCTGCAGTTAGGTCTTCCTGATTTGGGCATCACCTGGTGGCTTACTTTTTTTGTGAGTGTGTGTGTGTGTGTTCATGGTTTTGTTGTTGTTCGCTTCCTGTGGTTTGCGATTCACTTGCTCTTTCTGTTGGTCTCCGTTCGTCTGTACTTTACACTGGTAGTTGCAGGATGTCATGGGGTTGTGTATGTTAACCGGAAGTTGTTTTTTAAGAGCAGAACTCACCTGGTCGCGCACCGCTCATACCTTGAAGTTGTGCGTCGAGTCGCTGCTTGCGCTCATACAAACTTCAGGAAGGCTCGTATCAGACAGCTGAGGGCTGCATTCACCCAGCATCTTTTGACAAGCATACGCGAGTTTAAGTTACATGTAGGACACGAGACTCACGAGACTTCAAGTTAGCTCTTGGCTTGCGAAAATTGGAGTCTGTGTGCTTTCAACATCAGCTTTTTCTCCAAGAACTGGCCTTTACAGCTGGTGTTCTTCTGCTGAAAGTTCAACCCTAAACCCAAACCCTAAACCCTAAATAGTTTTTCTTGGCAGTACGTAGTCCAGGTTCTTCATCTTGACCTTTTCCCCTCCACCTTGAAGCCTACCTGAACCCTAAACAACCTTCCTTTCCGGATTTCCAGAATATGATGTCCATATACAAATCCTCAAACCCTTCACCCCTAAACCCACGACCCTAAACCCCTAAACGCTAAACCCCTTAATCCTGAACCCCTAAACCCAGCCCCTAAACCCTAACTGTCAAACCGCCCTCGGCATGCTAACAGTCTAATGAAGGTTCTTGATAAAACAACCCACCCACAAATAGCACCAGAACAATGAGTGGTTTGGCCTTGCCAAACGGGGTCTTGCCGAGACAGTCTACAACTTTTGCCTTGACCGTCTGCGTCCAGACCCCATCCACCCCACGACCCCCCCCCCCCAGTACAGCTGGAATTCGTGTATTTCCTCGTGCAATTCATTGTGCCCCTGGTTGTGCTCACTGTTAGTGGGGCGGGACGACTTGAACCCTAACCCCTCAACCCTACATCCTTGAACAGGTAGGTAGGTTATTTGGGGCCGAGGTATGTCCTACGGTATGAACTACGGTCTGGGACTGGGGGTTTGATACGGGTTCCATATGAAGCCCTCAGACCCTAACAGCCCTAGCACCTGTGAGGTTGCGCCTTGAATCGTAAGGCTCCCAAGTATACCAAGGGCACCTACTTTGCGCTATTTGGAGTCTTAGGCGATGGCTAGCAGCACTTTCGTCCAGATTAAACCCATCCAACCCTGAGCATGGCTTTCCTAAATCCCTAAACCCTAAACCCTAAACCCCAAACCCTAAACCCAAAGTGTTAACTGCGAGTATAGAGCCGGGACCCTAAACGCTAAACCCCTGGACTCTAATCATCCCCAGAGGCTCCACATATAGTACCATTATGGAATCAGGTCCCAAAATACCATCCTTATTCAGGTTTTAGGGGCCTAAGTCCATAATGCTACTATATACGGAGCCTCTGGGATCGACTCCTGGGAATGGCCTCCCTAAGCCCTTATAAGCCCTAAACCCTAAACCCTAAACCCTAAACCCTAAACCCTAAATGCAGAGCAGAGGCTGAAGAGGCCAGACGACGGAATTCTTTGGCACCTTCCTCGGCTGCAGAGTTTAGGGGGTAGGGATTTAAGGTTTAGGAGTTTGGGTTTAGGGTTTGGTGGGATTTAGGGTTTAGGAGTTTAGGATTTAGGGTTGAGGGTTTAGGGTTTAGGGGTTTAGGATTGCGGCGGGTTGTGCCTATTAGGGTGGTTTTCGAACTGCAATCTCGGGATTTCTGCTGAAGGTTTACAGGACTACGAGGATTTCGCGTTGCGGAAAGGCTCTTCGCTGAATTCGCTGGAGTTCAGGGTCCGGTTTGTTCAGGTTGTCAGGCAAACATGCAAGGGGGGTTTCGGGCTAGGGTTTAGGGTTCAGGGTTTAGGCTTTTTTAAGGGCTGTGGCAGCGAAGTTGATAGTTGCAGCAATTCTGGGTTTAGGGTGTTGGAGTTCACGGCTTTGGGTTCAGGTCTGCCTTACGAGATACCGTGTCAATTCCGGCTATACGATCCGACTCTACATTAATGTTGCTCATGGAAGCATACCGGCAGGTCCTCATTCGATTTGTTTCGGCTCTTTACGCCGAATGGTCCCATGAATCCGCACCCTGCTCGAATCATTTTAAGTCTCTTGCATGCAGCATTGCCAACGAAGGCTTGTTGAGTTGGGGAGAGTTTCGAGATCTCGACACTTTAGACCTTTGAGGGTTGAGGGCTTCCCAATCACGTGAATTCCGAAGACCCTGAGGTTTTCGGCTTTCTGGTTGTCGGTTTCGGGTTGAAGCCCTAGACAGTAAAGGTTTATCTGTACAGAACAACCTTGCTGAATTCATAGTTATCCCTACTGTGGCAGCAAGCCGTAGAAGCAAGAGAAAGGCAGACCCAAAGGGCCCTAAGTACCTATAGGGGGGGGTATTTGCCCAAACCTCCATAGCAATTCCTATATAGAAACCCTACTCTACTATGTAGCTACTGCGTATCCTAAACCCTCATAGTACCCCTAAAGGAACACTTAACGTACCCTTCAAAGGAACCCTAAACAACCTCTACTATGTAGACACTTAGGATCCTTCGAAAGAGCCTGCTAGGGTTAGGTCGGGAAGCGCAGGACCTGTACGAAGACATGCCCTTTCTGCACACTGCAATATTTTGGGCATCGGAAGTGCGAAAGGTGAAGAGCATAATATGCGAAATCAGATAGCGCCATGTCGGCATCGCCTTTCAGAAACCAAGCCCAGATTTGAGTGTGTGTTGTCCGACCTCATACATGCGTCAACTACATCGCCAAGGCCGCGTGGGATAGTTAGGGCTAGGGTGGAGTTTACGGGTTCGGTATTAGCGCGCAAGAAATCCAAGCTTTGAACGTAGGGACTCGGTTTGTGGTATTAGGGAAGTGTGCGGTTGTTTCGGGTTTAGGCCGTTACAAGGGTGCTAGGATTCAGTGACCAGTGGTTTAGGGTATACGGCGAAATGCCGGGGCTTACCAAGGCAGCACAGATGTGCGAGTGTCACTAATTAGAACGCCTGAATAAAAGTATCAATTACCATCGGCTTTGACTCGTTTTGTGCCGAAGCCGTGCAACTCTCCCGACAAAGCTCTTTGGGCCGTGAAGTTTGACGGCTCTTCGTAGCTGACCGGTGATGAAGCTACATCTTGCGTTGGTGTCTCAAGGGCTCAAGGGTGCGGAAGGTCTTCAGCTATGCAAGACAAGGGGTTCAGGTTTAGGTTCAAAGGGTAGAGACTTGGCTTCAACAGCGCTTCAATGTGGTTTCGGTGGTTTGTGGGTGGGCTTCAAGCTGAGCCATCGGGGTGCGTTACCAGTGATAACCCGATGATTATTCTTGCATGAAGCAACCCTGCATGGCAGCTTCTTGCATGAAGCAGCCTGCACGGTAGCATAATTGGTTCAAAATTCGTATACCCACGGACAAATGCTCGAGGCCGCGCTCTGCACCGTCACGACTGGTTTATTTGAGAACTCGCGGAATGGGTCTTGATTGAGTGCATGGTTGTATCTCGGTAACGCCTGCTCTTGACATCGGTGTTTGCTCTTATTGCACGCTTAGTATCTTACCCAAAGGGTCCTAGGTACTGTTATAGGGGATACTTTCCCAAATCATAATAATTATTCCTAATATAGAAACCCTACATTATACTGTACTATACAGGTACATTGGACCCTTTGGGTTATACTTCAATGTCGAATGGTCGCCTGTTCGATGCGCACGTGCCGCCATGTCAGATCACGTCGATGGGGTAGGTCAAGCCTCCAGCAGAAGGCATCCGTGGTGGTCCCGAAATTTTGCTATCGCCAAGCCTCGCAACCCTAAATCCTGAAAGAATCAATCAAGGTTTGAGCATAGAGGGAACGGTAATGAACTAAATCTCGCAACTCCATAAGTGTAAGTCCGACATCGCCAACAGGCAGCCGCCCTATCGGCGGATAAAACCGCAAAGCCTGACAGGTTAATTCCGAAGATGTTTTCAAACTCTATGTATAGGGCACAGGGCTTGTTCACGATGATACAAAGGTTTTTGTCATTCACCGGTATTGGGCCCTACACCATGTAGACTCCTGATACCGTACAACCGTTGCAAGACCCTCATATGATGATTGAAAAAAGCGTTTACGAAGCCTTGGAACGTAGTCCATGAACGCCAGCCCCCAAACTATGAACTTTATCCCTGGGCCCTAAGCCCTATTCCTCGCCCCTAAATACTGAGTATTGGGGCGGCTAATATGGATAGGCTGTATCTCCTGTTTGCTTTAAAAGAGGTACTTATTCATAAAAAAATCGGTGGTTCCGCCAACCTTAAACATTGGTCCTCAAACCACAACTTCTAAACCCTGAATCCGAACCTTATAGGATCCGCAAACTACCCCAAACCCTGCAACCCCTCCTTTATACGTTGTGCAGAATCCCACACTCGAAGCCGTAACCATCTGCACCGTCGAGCGAACCTAAGGCCGCAACGCTGGACGAGAAGGGCATTAGTGCGGCAGGGGCCCTGGCGACAGGACTGGTGACCGGAGCCTGGCATTTCTAGATTTGTGGATGAAGTAGGGCAGTACAGTTTTTGGGATTCAGGGGTCTTGTTGGTTTTCCAGTTAAGGGTAGTGTTCCGGGTGCAAGAGTTTCAGGGCTATAAGATCAACTACCGATTACGGTTCAAACAGTTCAATCATGGGCTACATAGCTCTTGTTTGCACAACTTTAGTTGGTAGAAGGCACCTTGAATCCCAGCTCCAGATTGCACCTGTTGAGAAGGTTTTCGACCCGATTGCACTTGTTGGGAAGGTTTTCGACCCGGGCTCAAGTGGCAACGGTGGAGCATCTCCGTCACTCGGCAGCAGAATACCGCAGCTCTGACAGGTGTGTCTTGCGAGAATAAGGGTTTTCTACGGTTACATCATTCGCATGAACTGCACGGCATGAGGATGGTTTGAACAGTTTGGGTAGGCAGGGGGTTAACGGTTCAGGAAATGGGTCCTCAAAATACAGTAGTACCTTGACTGGCTTCCTGTAGGGGGGAGGGAGGCTTCTCTTGCATGATGCTATTTTGATCCTGAGGTCGTAGGGTCGCGAACCTGAGGTTACATGACAATACTTGCTTCGGACACACTTCAAACCAATCCCGGGCCCAACTGAAAAGATAATGCTCCATGTCGAAGATAGCAACACTACATAACAGTATTAATCATAATCATAGATGCACGTGCCAAGAAGAAGAAGAATAGTAATATTAATCGGCAAAAGTAATCAACTACAAGCACTAAAACTTCGAGCGCGACGCCCTTGACCCCCTCATTTGGAAGATGCCCTCCCAGAGGCTCCACGTGCCCATTAAGTATAAACGTATATAGGTCTTAAAGGGGTTGTAGGTGCCTATTTCAGTATAGACTTACGTCTAAAAGGTAGGTACTTTAAGGCTTATGTATATACTATTTGGGTATTTGGACCCTTATACCGTAAACCCTAAACCCTCATGGTACTCTAACAGAACCCTTATGGTATCCTTAAAGGAGCCCTTTTCGGGCACATGGAGCCTCAGGGGCTGCGGACCACCGCAGCTTTAGAACCCATATAGAACCCGTCTAGAACCCTTTAAAGGAACTCTCTTAGAATCCATATAGATCCCTTAAGAGGAGCTCTTATAGAACCCTCATAGATCCCCCTGAAGGGCACCCCGCCGCAAGCGCTCCGAGGAAGCCCCAGTTCGACGTGACCACGGTGCCAGGGAGCGAGATGAAGCAGCTCCTCGGTTCAGGGGGCCAGGGGTTTTGGGTCTTGGGGTTAGGGTGTATAGGGGTTTGGGGTTAGGAGGAGTTTAGGGGTTTTCGGGTTTAGGGGTTTGTCATCTCCGTTGCATTTCAATGCTGCAGTGCCTTTTTCGCTTCGGAACGCTTGGTTCAGCTTGGGGGGATAGGCTCCCTGCAAGGTGCCTAGTGATGGCAGGCGTAGTGCAGGATGGTCCCGGGAAAAGGAAAGTCTGTTTGGGTTTAGGGTCTAGGGGTTTAGGGTTTTGAACAGCCTCACCGCATTTGAGGAGACTTGGCAAGAGAGTTACGCCAGGGTTTAGGCTATAGTGTTTTCGGGTACACCTGTCAGTCACAGAGAGAACAACCGTGAACAACCCCGTGAATTCCACGCCGCAGTCCATACAGCGCCATTTTGCGGGTGTGTGTACCTAAATGTATATATAATTAGGTTGAGACATGAGTAGTGATCGCAAAGTCACGAAGTTTACATTTATCGTCTGAAGGTCAGGGTTACTGATAAGACATACTACTTTCTACTACTGCTACTACTACTACTACTACTACTACTACTGAGGATACCAATAACACTAATAATACTAATCATTGTCATAATGATAAGAAATAAAAATAACATAGATTAGAGAGTTGGGATCTTGGCTTCAGCTTCAGACGCTTTGCGCAGAGTGGGGTTTAGGGTTTACGGGGATGTTTTTTCCCCTAGAATGGTTCTGCACTGCATGAAGCACCCCAAAACATAGGAATGGTGACTCAAGTCAATGCACATATAAGTACATCCTAGTTATGGTAAAACCTTCAACAGTAAATACCAAGAGATTGCTGAAGAACCCTACAGCCTAAACCCTATCCCCCAAAACCAAGCACTCTTCGCCTTCTGACACGACCTGCGGGCCCCTAAACCCTAAACCCTAAACTGTGCAAACCCAAGCCTCAACCCTGCGCCTTCAATCCAAGCCTGAACATCCACAACCTGGAACCCGAGAAGGGTTTAGGGTCTAGGGTTTAGGGGCCTAAATAAATATACCGCTGTTGTAGGGGTTCCTTGTTATATTTATAGCATAATGTCCCCCAAATCCCTCTTCTAATTGGTTATTAAGGCCCCTACAGTACAGACTCCAAACCGGATCTATGCTAGACGATTCTATTCTATAATATATCGTGTACCATAGTTATCCTGTTTGACGAAGTTCCTCAGTAACACATATCAAGAACAAGTAGCTGTAGGCACGGGTGCCGCCAGCTGTGCTCGCAGCTCCGTCACCGAAACGAACACAATGAGAACACAGGCTTATGCTATTCTAAACTATATAATTTTGCCATACAATTATGCTACGTTATACCACGTAATATGCCATATGGTAACTTAGCATAAGCCGTTCGTGGTAATCTCAGAAGCATGCTCTAATTTGCTATAACGTACTAGGACCCCATGGGCGACAAGGCATCATGGTTGAAAACCTGGAAGCTAGAGAGCGCGGACTATAAGTTGTGCCTAGGGTTTAAAGCTTAGGTCTTCGTTCCTGTATGGGTGCTATAGGGGCCTGAATAACTACCTATACTATTGTGGGGGTTCCTTATTTTAGTTTTAGTATACTATACCCCAAAACCCTATTCTAATTATTAAGGCTTCTACGTCAGCTCTCTATAATATGGTCTCTTCCAGGGTCAAGGTTATAAGGGCGCCGCCTTGTTTTGGGGACGTAGAAAGGGACCCTAGTTTTGGAGAGCTACCACAGAGATTGATTGTATCCGCTGTGAGAGCCAAGCTTAGACAGACAGAATCCGACGTCGTCGAGCTCGAAGACCCAAAACGGATTAGGGTTACTAGGTCTCCGCAGCGGGTGTTTTTTCCCCTGTTGAGGTCTTAGGTTCCTGATAGAAGTACCCAATACCAAGAAGGGAGCCCTTGTAATCACAGGTTGCTGGGCATCCTAGGTGAGTCTTATTGCAGTTTAGGGTTTAGGGTTATAGGGTTTGCAGGTTTATAAACCCTAAACCCTAAACCCTAAACCGATACCCACAGCCCGAAGACGCACCTCAAACCTGGGATGCCATCCACCGGTTCTTACTGGGAGGTTCATGGGACTTAATAAGTACAGTTATGAATACCCATTTTGGGGCTATCAGTCTTTAGAAGTATAGTTTACTACTTGATAACCTGAACTACTAAGTCCAATGAACCTTTTTTAACTCTCATCAAACCCTAAACCCTAAACCCTCAACCAACATGGTATTCCGGACTCCTTATCAGGCGAAGGAAAAGAGGTGATTTAAAAAAATGCCTGAGGTTTCTTTTGAACCCAGCTCCGCCTCTCGGCTGCATGGGAGGTTTTTAGAACTTCGGGTTTAGGGCTTAGGGCTTAGGGCTTGGGGCTAAGGCAGGGCTTACGGGGTTTAGGGTTCAGTATCTCGGATTCAGGTATGAGTGTTACTGCAGGGTTTAGGCTTCAGGGCTTTGATATTAGCTTCTGCCTGTGGAATTGGAATACGAGCTGTGATGGTACCCTTTTAGCGCGATGCTCGCTCCACTAGGCAGCCGAAGCCCCTAAACCCTAAACCCTAAACCCTACAGAACGGGTCATATACGCCATAGCTCCCAGGCCCAGACCTATCCAAACCGACGTGCAGGCAGTGTTGGCGCAGTTTTTGGTCAGGAGTGGAGTCCTTTTCCTTGCATTTAGGGCTCCTTCAGCTTCGGATTGCTACTCTTTCCCCGTTTTTCCAATCACTACGAAACCTGCGCCCGGACACAGCTAATTGAGGGGCCTCAACAAATAGAAATATGGCACCCTTGAAGTGACGGTATATGTATCCTATTGTATACTACAGTATATAAGATTGTATAACATTATATATCATTATTTGAACCAAAGCCCTATCCTTAGTTGTTCAAGCCCTTACATTACAGGCTAACTAGGTCTACTCCTAGGGTCCTAGGGGCTGAACCTGAGGACTCCCTGTACTGCCTGAACCTAAACCTTAAACCCTCTTCAGGAAGTCTGCTGGCATGATCGAGTGCAGAATCATCCGACCTGTCCTCAGTAAGATTTCGGGTTTAGGGCGCTTGTTGTGTCATGGCTGCTCGCAGGTAAGGGCTTCGGGGATAGACTTTCTTTAGGGTTTAGGGCTCCAGCCTTTTTCTGACAAAGCCTTTATGTGACAAGTTCTTCCTGAATCTCAGAACACATCTCATACTTTTGTAGACTTGCAGGGACGTAGTGTCCAGGGAAGCTCCAAAGCCAGGGGGGCGGGGGCGCGTTATCGGCTTTCCAAAGGGGCCGTATTCGCGTTTCTGCATTGGCTTTGCAGCTTTTCTATCAGGGCTTTCGGTTTTGGGGTTCAGGGTTTACCTATAGTCTCCATGGTCTCTTTTTTGGTTTAGCCAACTATGCATTTAGAGCCTAGACGGTAACCCCCAAAAAGGAGCTACAATGGAGACTATGGGTAGGGTTTCGGGTGGGTTTAGGATTCAGGGTTTAGGGTTTAGGAGTTACTTAGAGGCCCAGGGGACGTACTAAGTAGGTTATCAGTACTGTAGAGTTATAAGTACCCTAGATGGAGTTGTCCCAATTATAAAACCACTTATAACCGACTTACTATGTCCCCTGGGCCTCCAAGTACAGGTTGAGGATTCCGGCTCTTCGGGCTCATGGTTCGGGCTCCTGAACCCCTTACTCTGTAAGGTAAATGGAGAATGCTCTGTAAAGCCGAATCCCGAAGAATCTGCATGGGAATAGCAGGAACTACTATTATGGCTTGGGTAAGTATCCCCCATACAGCTACTTAGGATCCTGGGGGAATAGCCCGAAAAAGCCTTCTGCCGGGTCTGCGCAAGAGTTTCAATAGTATAGGAAGGCCTCCGGCGACTCTCCCTATAGGGTTGCTTAAACAAGGTGGGTAGCCCCGATGTAGAACCGATTAACTAGCTGATGACTAGCCTGCCTGCACTCGAAGAAACCCCTAAACACTAAACCCTAAACCCTACACCCTAAACCCTAAACCCTAAACCCCCTAAACCCCCTAAACCCTAAACCCTAAGCCGTGCAAGCGACCAAAAGCCCAAATGGAACCCCGCGGCTGCAAGGACCCTGTGAAAAGGAGGTTTAGGGTTTAGGGTTTAGGGTTTAGGGTTTAGGGTTTAGGGTTCAGGGTTTAGGGTTTAGGGTTTAGGGTTTAGGGTTTGGGGGGTTTGGGCTCATGCAGCAGTCCGGAAAGTACACAATAAACCCGAAACCCTAAACCCTAGTAACATTAATCTTCAAGCCCTGGTTCCCGAATTCTTCGCGGGTTTTCGGGTTGCTGGACTACAGTGAATAGATTGCGTTTCGGTTTTAAAAGGTCAGGGCATGAGTTGAGTGGTGTGGATTTGGGGAGTTGGGATTGGGACTAGGTTTCGCATGCTGCGGTTGAGGGTTTGGTCGTAAGGTTCAGGTCAGAGGACTGGATTCAGGGTTTAGCCAACCCAAAACCGGAGCCGTAAAGCCCTAACTTACGCCTGAAAGCCCAGAACCCAAGCATGCTTCTGTTTTTGCCTGGCCCACGAAAGCCTGAGCCATGCCGGAAGGCCGAGTCATTCTTCAGTGTGACGGCTTTGCAACACTATGGGAGCACCACTCTAAACGGTAAAGCAACGGCATAAAATCACATCTGCGCTCGAAGCCCTAACGACTTCAAGGGAGGTATCATGTTGCAAGCCGCATAGTAGGACATCCTTGTCGATTCAGAGTCATAGCGCAGTCAGTAATCGCAAGCTGACCTACCCGCTCATCGGATTATTAACGAGCCCGGAAGCCCTTAATGCTTCATGGTGCATCTGTGCTTATCGCGGCCCATCTCGCGCCTAATTAAGCCAAGTCAAAACTCGGTACTGAGCCTTCCTTCTGCCATGCGCGACGGCACGAGCTTCCGGCCAAGGACACAACCCGCACGCACGTTAGTTCCGGTCTTGTCAGACTGATAAACAAAGTAAGTTTCCTTGCCCGTGTAGGCAAGTAAGGACATTGAGAGCCACATCGTACCTGCCATGTGAGGTAAGCTCAGGCAGGTGTCCTGGTAAAGACTTTCCGACCGTACAACATACTCATACCCTACCTTTACCTACCAAAACCTACCTTTTTGTAGGGTCCCTATGAATTCCTTATGAGGGTTCATAATAAGAACCTACAAAGAGGTAGGTTTTGGCTGGCACCTCAAAAATGGCCCTCGAATTCTCGTCTGCGCCATCTCACAGGCTGCAGCAGAAAGCCTCTAAACCTTTTGCTAAAAGCCCTAAGCCGTCTAAGGACTATATTCTTTAAACCTTACAAAAATGAAAACTACGAGGCCCAGACCCAGAACCTGATAATACACCCTGCACCTGCAACTCTAAGCTGAGAGCCCTGCATCAGAAGGAGGTCCGCTGAAGGCATGCATCCGGCCTTCTTTGGGTTCGGGCTTTGGGAGGGTTTAGTGCTTAGGGTTCACCCTGAGAGCCAAGTGCCTAGTAGTCATGGGCTTTGCAAGGGTTGTTACAGGTTCCTGTTGAGATTTGTCTAGCGGTGTTTAAGGGGGCTTTGTCAAGGCTTCTGTAAGAGCTCTATGAGGTCTTTGAGGGTCCACGGACCTCAATATTAGTATGCTGATGTATACTCCTAGAAGTGTTACAACCCTAAACCCTAAACCCTAAACTCTAAACCCTAAACCCCAAGTGCACGAGTCGTGGCCCAAGTGTCTGACCGTTACATTAGGCCCTCTGGACCCTGATTTTCGGGTTGTTGTCTGTTCAGGGTTTAGGGTTTAGGGTTTAGAAGGTTGTTGTCTGTTTAGGGTTCAGGGTTTGAAGACGGTTGCCTGTGATGTGGGGAGATGGATTTGGCACATGTCCCTGGACCCAATATAATAGGGCAGTGGTCTTTGTAGGCCAGTCTTGTAGGAAGTAGGTCCGATGGCTAACATTCTTGGCACTATGTTCTAGCTGTTTCCACAGTTACACCATGTTGCCCAACAAAGCCCAACATCTACGCACACCCCAGGGCCGAGCTTTCATAATTTATACAGTCTGCTCGAAACTCGAGACCCTGCACTCCCACGCCCACACCCAGACCTTCTTGCCGACACGGATGAATCACTGGTGTCTCAGTGTTTTCCTTTGGCGCCCAGCCAAACCAAAATCACAACGTCAACCTTAGCATGCACTTCAAGAGGGCTGCAGAAACCGAAGCCGGTTTGGGTAAGCTTTAAGAAGAACCCCTAGACCCTAAACTCTAAACCACAGAAGCTTCTATTTATCTGGGTGCCTGCAGTCATTTTCCAAGCCTGATGGAATGTGCAGTAGGTGGGTTGCTTCAGTCTTGCAGGATCGTATGCCAATGCAGAATCCATCAGGGCCCATGACGTGTCTAAGTCAAGAGAAACCAAAAGCTGCTGAACCTTGCGTGCACAAGATGTACTATCTGTTTTGCATACTTGACTGTCGCATCTGAACTAAGCAGTAGCATGGTATGATGCTTGAGTTTAGCTTCATGGATACTGGCACCTAAAGCTGCAGGCAAGGTAGCTGTAACTATAGATAGATGTGTGGCTACTGGAGAGATGAACTATCTGGAGCTATATGGGTAGTTCTCCAAATTAAGGTCCCTTTTTGGGTCCCCGATATAGTACAGCATCCTTATAAACAGGACCCTAAACGGGACCCTGATATAGAAAACTACCTATATGTCAGCAAGTAAACACTGCACCTAGGTTCCTTGTCTCCCCTATCCCTGCTCCTTAAGATAGGGAGAGATACGATTGTTATTTGCCTCCAGGCGCTACCGCAAAGCTGGGGCAACACCAACCGAGTCTCGCACTCTATTGAGAACTGCCTAAACTCTATTAAGAACTGCCTAAACTCTATTAAGAACTGCTAAGCCCTATTAAGAACTGTCTAAACTCTATTAAGAACTGCCTAGACCCTGAACCTTCCCTTTGAAGTCGACTCACGCGCCACGAAACCCCGAAACTTCAAGCCCTGAATCCTGTACTTTACAGGCGTTCTATCTTTATCCCCCCCGGCTCCAAGTCATAAAAAACCGTAAACCGAACCCTAAACCCTAAAACCTAAACACCAGATGTGCTACTATAGTTACAAGTTTAGGATTAGTAATTCCTCCAAATCCTGCTAAAGCTGAAGGCAACCTTCACTTGCGTTTTCGGCACCTGAAGCCCTGTGGGGTTTCCAAGAGGCATCGTGCGCGATGTCGTGGAAGCTGTTGGCGCAAGTTTGGGAAAACCCGTCCGGGACTCATTCTTGTTGGGGAACGCTTTTCGGCAAGGATTCCAGTATGCCTTCCGTTTGTTGACGACTTCAGTACAAGTGCATAGGGTGTTGGGAGCAGCAATTGCTCATCCTTCGGGTTTTCTGGCTGTAGGGTTTCTAAGCTCAACTCTATCTTGAGTTTAAGAGCCCAAATACTACTCTGCCTCACAAACCCAGCCTGAAACTGGGGCAGGAGATGCTATGCTGATAGAAAACAGGTTTGTCAAACACATTACAAATGAGTTTTTTAGACTGTGACCAATCGGTACTTCGTCGCGAAAAGTTTTGTTTGTTGGCAAAACTGTTGTCTAAACTCCTATCTGAACCACACGACACCTGGATTTGTATGGTATCTTACTTTCACTTCCATTTTAAAAGTCCTGAAACATGTAGGTTCTTCGGGCACAGCTAAACCGGACCTAAACCCTAAACCCTAAACCCAAAACCCTAAACCCTAAACCCTGAACTCCCAGGTCGAAGAGGCTGCCAAAGTCTTGCAGTACCTCGAGAGCGAGTGGCTTTGCGACTCTGGGCGGCCTGCTTGTTGGGACTTTGGGGTTTTTGTAGACGGTTCCGAGGTTCCAACCACTAATGCTGACCTACGAAAGTACTATTTAATAGAGGGGCCTTAATAGTTAGAGTAGGGTTTTGGAGGCTCCTTATTATAATTATAGTATAATATACCCCCCAAACCCTATTCTTAATATTTAGGCACCTGTACTATATATACTCCAAGTACCGAATGCTTCGGTC